GGTCAGTAGGTCAGTAGGTCAGTAGGTCAGTAGGTCAGTAGGTCAGTAGGTGATGCAGTCTGTCAGTCAGTCATTCAGTATGTCTGCCATCTCATCAGTCTGTTGAATTGAACCAACACATAGGCAGACACACAGTCATTCATTTTGCCAGTCAGTTAATCATTACATATGTAGAAAGAAGGTAGAGAGACTGTGGACAGACAAACAACTAGTCTCTTGAGTAATCTCTAGCCACCCACTAATGAATCGATACGTTGCTGTCAGTCTGTGGCAACAATTATTGTGGTCTATGCTCTAAAGCATAAATTAAGCCAATCAAAGCACTCTCGTGAAAATACAAATAAATAGTAGGGCTTAGCCATTCATTTATTAGTTACCTGTTTGATGTTGTTTTATTTTTTTTAAATTTTAGTTGGAGACTATCCTATGGGTGGAATGTCACCTGTCTAGTTCTCCGCAACAGTTTAACTGTTGGAAGTTTAATAAATAAATAAAAATAAAATGAAATTTTATATATTCTGTCATTATCTTATTAGGTTGCTAACTTCATGCAAGTCCATCCTGACTTTGGTAATGGCATAGCCAAGGAACTTGCCAAGCACAAGGTAAGTAATAGATTATGAATGCTAATAGAAATAGTACTATCCCTGCTTCATGGGGTCTACGAGGGTTAAGTAGACGAGTTAACTATGGGATGAGATAAGATAGAATGGAATGGGATGGAATAGGATGGGAAAAGATAGAATGGAATGGAATGGAAAAGATAGAATGGAATAAGATGGAATAGGATGGAAAAAGATAGAATGGTATGGGATAAGAAGGTTATTTTCCTCCTGTAGTTTTAACCATCAACCCTTTGCAACTTCTGGTGAAAAAATGTCATTACAAATAATATAATGACGAGTTTTAGCAATCCTGGCGAAACACTTTTTTTTTTGATGACTACAAATATTTGGGGCTCCATCAGCTGATAAAACTCTTTGAATCTCATTATCTGCCCTAAATGGTGCTCAAACATTGGCCACCATGTGCTATTCTATTAAGAACTTGAATACTCCAGTTTCAAGTTTCTCTGTTGCTCAGGGTTAGCCTCGATTTTGTGTAATCAAGGACCATGGAATTTCAGTGTTTGTATTGCTGAAGTCGTGCATTCTCTACTTTAGCGTTGGTATTTGTGAATATTGACGCTGAAACAAGCTAATTATGAGTAGAGTAACTGAGTCTGTGATCAAGGAACACAGTGGTTTTGTACGAATTTGAGCTGCTGAACATAGACCTTTTCTGAGACAGCGAACACGGTGCATTGTGGATTAGCTTAGATACAAACATCTTCCGTTCATCATGCCTTATATGGTTTTTTTGGACCGAATCTAGAACACAATGCATCCTGTTTATCGAATTCAGAAAAGGCCTATTCCTCACGTGACCGGAAATGACGTTTCAAAAACCAAGGAATACCTGTAGCTGTAATATATAGAACAATGCCAAGACTTCATAATAATATTTTCCTTTTTATTGTTTGCTTTTTGCAGCAGGGAATTGTTGGGGCAGGGGCCCATGCAGCCTTGTAATTACCCGCCCACGTCTCCATGACAACCTGGTATCCACGGCAACGTCTGATTACAAGCACAAGTACCTGACGACTAGGAGCTAGTTTTTATTTTGATTTAAAAGAACTCGGTGATTGTAGTATAGAGAAGATTTTAGATGTTCATTCTTGATCTAGATAGGAAGTGTATGTTGTGTAGTCTAGTGTAGTCTAGTTTTGATTCTTTCATATTAGGATGGGTTTTACTGATTGTTAATGCTTAACTGTGTTGTAGATGTTGTAGTCATTTTTGGTCAGTGGTGTTTTGATTTTATAGTCTTAATTTCTTTATATAGATTCTAGTACTTGCGACATAACATTTTATCAGTAGTAATAGGAAGATAGCCACCCCCACCCCCCCCCCCAATCCACTCCTACGCACCCCTCCTCCCCCTCCTGGATCCACTCTTACGTCCCAAAGCCGGATCCATTCAATGCTATCCGTCTTGGATTGGAATGACTCAAGAATCCCAATATTCATTGGTAAATAGTTTAATTCAGGATAGTCATCACATTCAAAAATAATCTCAATCTTGTTGAATAAACTGGCGAAGAATTTATAATATGGAGATATTTTTGTCCAGTAAAATGGGACGCCACCAATTTGCCAATTTATACACTGGCGCGTATATAAAGTTTAATAGTTTTTATTTTACACGTATTATAAAAAAAAGTTACAGGGAAGGTACAACTCAGACATAACAGCGCATTCTCCTGAATGATCGCAAGGATGTAGCTCATGATAATTGCATTTCATGTTTGCTTGAGCAATAATAGCAGTGTCCCTCGGGTTGCTGTAGGGATTATTCTATTAATTCCTCGCAAGTTGTATCGGCGAAAGTCGCGCTTTTCAAACTGATAACGTACTTCTTCATGAACTTCTCCATAATTATATCGGCCACCGGCTCCGTATGCTCGTCGTAAATGATGGATAAGTTCTCGTACAGTTTACATTCAGGAGTACAAATCGATACCTTTGCTCTCTGAAAATTCTTATGCCCTTCTCTTCGCCTTCTACGCGCAGAACGCAATAGGAACTTTGCACGATGGCGTCATTGACCTCTACTACCAGAATCCCTTGCACACTTTCTTTTGTTCAGTTAATAACCACCAATTGTCTTACTATTCTCATGAGGGAACACAAATTTAAATAAGAAAGAAATTTTGCGAAGCATTAAGGTAGTGCGAGTCAAATGACGCCATCGTGCAAACGTCCTATATCGTGAGCCCTGACGATGATACACTGTGTACTATACATGGAGTACCTACCTATACTCCTCTCCAGTCCCTTTCAACCTCTACGAAAACTAACTATAAACTAAGGAAGGCAGAAACTTCGAACCACAGAGAGCCCGGCTTTAGAATTTGTACATGAATAAAAAAAATCAATAAGTGCTTTATTGGGTTTCCTGTGTTTAGAATTTGTTCATGAATAAAAAAAATCAATAAGTGCTTTATTGGGTTT